ATAGATTAAATTTATCCAAGACAGACGGATGAAAGCACCTTTACAACCAGGACAAAGTTTTTAGGAAGAGTCACTTTTTTAAAATAAGAAAGGCTAAAATGATCGTGAAAGTGCGAAAAAGAACTACAAAAATGCGGCGAGGAATTTTGAACAGATATAGCCTAAAACTGATGTTGCACCGAAAAAAATGCTGGTGTCCATGAATACACTATCGTGCGCTATTATTATAAAATAAGTACGCTATAAAATACATGAAATGACCATTTTATTACAATAAAGATAGTCTATTACATATTGCAGAACTATACAGGCTAATGAAAAATAGTATAGCTTCCATAGCAATTAAAACCTTAAACCACATGATAACAACAAAGTTTTTTAAAGCAGACAACAGTACCTACTGTTTTAATTTTGTCACATATGTAATAAAATACATTCATCTGAGTGATAGTTCTACGATATTTCGATACAGTTCAATGGTGTTTCAGTGCTAATTTCGAAACAATTTCTCAATTTTGATTGATGCCAAAAGATGAAATACAGTGCATATTTCATTGACTATACAGTAAAATACAGCCATTTCTAGCAGAAATTAATACGAAAACCCCAAACATTTACAAGTGACAAAAATGACTGGCGTTGTTAGTAGATTTTCTATTAAAATTATTCATATTAAAATTAACTATTTCGTATGTGACCTATGCACACACATGACTGCATAATTTTTTCATGTATATTATCAGTTAACTAGAAAATACATGCATGGAGAAACCCTCGCCTTGCTGAAAAAACCATTATATTTACCAAAACATGAAGTATTTAAAGTAGCTGTCATGGTAACACGATAATATTATTAAGAATATTTTTTAAAATTGAAAAATTTCCTAAAATATCACTTTTAATTACAAAATTATCAATCCCCAAACATATATGTTAGGTATGTTATTATACGTAATATTAGTTTAAATTTAATGTAAAATCCAACCACAAAAACTCTTCACAAAACGTTTTAAAATGTTCTTAAAACTAAACTGCCTTTCACTCGATAAACTTTGAGTTTGAAATAAAATGATTTCAAATTCTCGCATGCAAATAACTTGGCTTTCCTCTTTATTAAAAAAATGTAATATAATAAAAAAGGGTAAAGGGTATCAATAAATTTACAGTAAACAATACATCAATATTTAAAACAGACTTATCTTCATTAACGTCGGTGTCCTTGCCCCCTTCTTTTTAGCAAGCGTTTCGGCCTTTTTTCAAAAAAAGCTTTTGAAATTTATAAAATCCTGCAAAAATGAAATATATTTGCAAGAAATGTCAACTCAAATGTTTGTTATTTCGTTGTCGTCATGCAGTCGTTATAATGCAATTTTAAATTTGACCATGCAATCAGTGCTATTCATGATAGTCCGCCATACTTTTGAGATCAGTGAGGATGACCACCCATGAACGGTGAACCATAGCCATGCGCCCGCGACTATTAATGAACTTGCGAAACAGAATGCAAAGCGCAATCAACAATCAATATTTTTAAACGAGGCAGTAAAGTGCGGATAAGAGGAGAAAATGTGGATGAGGGGATGAAACTCGGATTATATATGTTTTATTTAATTTCTTATGGAAATATCAGAGCAGAAATTTGGTACTCCTGAAAAATGTGTATGTGTACTCGTGTACATTTGGTACTCGGCTACTCGTGTATGTTTTTTCTTCATTATAATTATGATGCTCAATATATTTAAACATTAAGCATCATAATTATAATGAAGAAAAAACAAAGTCAGATGTTTATGTTATCAATAAAACTGAAGGGTGAGGTCAGTGACAACACAAACTGAGAGCTTGATAATTTTTTATATCTCGGGAAAATCGAATTCAATAATTTTTTTACTATATATTTAAAAGATGAAATACGGATATACATCTTCATTGCGGCAAGTCTCTTATCATGGCCGTCCGGTGGTGGTGGGAAATGTGAGCTCTCACGTAGAAAAATATTGTGAAATATGCACAGATATGACTGTAAACTACACAATATCCCAAGAATGCAAGATTTTGCTATTTCTGAGACATTGCGGACGTACCCCCTAGCTTGCCTTAGCACTACAATTTGTAATCACGAGGACCCCAAACATGTCTCCGGGAGGCCTGCTCTTATATTCCGATATAAATCATCAGATCTAGATGAATCTTCAATGAACAATGTCCGATAATGATGATAATCGGTTGGATATTTGTTATCCTCAAGTTTGGATGAGTAGATTGATTATTTTTGTTATATTTTTGATAATGTAGGGTCAGGTTTCAGCATTCCCTGTACTGCTGCAGGTTGAACCGAACTCGAAATATATTTTACATATAAAATAAGTAATTTGGTATCCATTTTTAGGACGTTGTGCTGGAAAATTCAGCGTAGTAACAGTTCCTGATCACGAGAATGTGATAAGGGGAAAAAGAGGGAGTCGTCAAAAACTTGCGTGGAATTTTATTTGTTTTGGAGCACTGCATTCAAAAACAGTCAGATGTAAAAGGAATAACAGCGAAGAAATAACAGATCGTGATGGTTACTACGATGTAACTCGAAATCGATCAAGCAAGATTAATGAAATTGCACTTAGTATTACCATAACTATTTTCAACTTTTCAAGAAGTGAGAACATTACATGTACAACAGATGCTGAAGGTTCACCGAGTGCGACATTCAATTTGGTTGTGGAAGAAGGTAAAAATATTCATTTTAGGAAGATTTTTTAAGCAACAAAATAGGAATTCAAATAAGTGAATTAAGTTTTGGCTTAACGTTAAGTTTTGGAGAAACTACTAATGATATTCTTGACGACGACGTATTGCACTTTCATATATTTTTATTTTATTTTATTTTATTGTATGTTCTAGATGCAGATGTTGGTCAACGTCAAAATGAATTAGAGAAAAACTCGAGTTTTTTCAAAGAGAAAGGTGTATGGATAGTGGTTGGCTGCTCCGTATTGCTGTTTTTTGTCGCAGTGCTTCTCCTTCTATGGTGTAGAAAAAAAGTGGGACGGAAGCTTCAATTATTTTACCATCCTAAAGAGAAAGGTATGTGTAGAGTAGTAGAAAATAAAAAAAACAACGGTAATTTCAAAAAAGAACATTTTTAATATAGTTCATAATTTTGAACTATGTTAAATTAAAAATGTTCATATTTGAACTATATATTAAAATATTCTTTTTTGAGTTACCTACCGGTTAAAATACTCACTGGTTCCCGTAATTTAAAGGTATGTCACAGTGCCGTTGCGTGAAAGTTGGACGTTGTTACAATTACTTTCGAAAGTTAGATTTTACCAATGACTTCACCTAAGTTGCGTGAATCATTGTGTCATGTAACATCTTTGCTGTATACTGCGGCAGAATATATACTTCAAGCGTCCAGTAAAGTAGCAGTAGATCTTATTTTTTCTTACTTGCAACGACTGTATAAACTATTTAACATTCCAGTTTATAATATTGCATTTATCAATCCAAGAGCTTTGATTGGTGGAGAATCGTACTGTATTTCTACTTAAAAAACTCATTAACAATTCATGAGGAAAATACAAAAGAAATGAATGTTTAATCAATGTTTATAAATCGGATAAAGATTTGTTCTGATTTACATAAACTTTAACTTTGATTTTCTCGGCTTAGACAATGTTTATTTTTAAAATTACTTCGCCAATGAACTCATAAGATGGGTCGTTTTTTAAGCACGATAAAACATTCGCATCCGATCTTTATCTGATATACAAACTCTTGCCTTCGGCTCGATATCAGATAAAGATCGGCTGCTCATGTTTTATCTAGTATATAACTGTATACAGAAACACGGAAATATCCCGCCTCGCGCCTTGAAATTTAAAAACATAAACAAAAAAAATTAATATCGACTTCTCAATCGAATTTTCAATTTAAGTAGTGGCGAACTAGACATGCACGTTTTATTATAGTAAAGTAGACCAGTTGTGGGTTTATTATATTATGTATAATGAGAATTTGTAACTGAATAATTTGTTGAAAAATATGTCTATAAAAACTTTTCTTGAGTCATTATGGCATATAGAGCTCCCATGATTAATTCTCGTTCTGCCAAACTCCAACGCGTGTCCATGCAGTCTATGACTGCATGTATAGAAACCGACACGGAAGATATTTCTATTTCTTAATCTTGTAACAGATGTTTCGCATTGTTAACTAATTGAGTGACTTT